AATAAAATGTAATATGATATATATATATATTATATATATTATATACATCATGTTTCTGACCACCAGGTGAGCATTAGCATCCAACCATATATTTTTTGTTTAAGTCTTTGCTTTTTTCATTATTATTATAATATTTACTTTTTTTGTCCTTTGTGGACTTTGGTTGTAAACACATTTACTGACTCCTGCGGCTCCCTCTCTGAATCCCTCTCTCTCTCTCTCTCTCTGTCTGCCTGTCTCGCCCTGTTTGACATCACAGATGTGTTTATATATAGCCAGCAGATGGATTCTCCCATAACAGTCTGCTTCACTGGCTTTCTGTGCGTGAGCTTAGCCCACCGCCGGCCGCTCAAATAAGCTAGAAGAAATTCTTTGTTTACATTATGTCTCCTGATCTGCCTAGCCTTTAGTTCGTGACTACATCCATTATTCATGTATTCTCATTCACCGTAAACGCACTCGCATGCATAGAGAGAATGTTAAACGTCAGTGCTGCTCAATATGCTATCGCTGTTCAGTGTGCAATACAGGGAGTGCAGAATTATTAGGCAAATGAGTATTTTGTCCACATCATCCTCTTCATGCATGTTGTCTTACTCCAAGCTGTATAGGCCCGAAAGCCTACTACCAATTAAGCATATTAGGTGATGTGCATCTCCGTAATGAGAAGGGGTGTGGTCTAATGACATCAACACCCTATATCAGGTGTGCATAATTATTAGGCAACTTCCTTTCCTTTGGCAAAATGGGTCAAAAGAAGGACTTGACAGGCTCAGAAAAGTCAAAAATAGTGAGATATCTTGCAGAGGGATGCAGCAGTCTCAAAATTGCAAAGCTTCTGAAGCGTGATCATCGAACAATCAAGCGTTTCATTCAAAATAGTCAACAGGGTCGCAAGAAGCGTGTGGAAAAACCAAGGCGCAAAATAACTGCGCCTTGGTTGCCAAGATGCCACTTGCCACCAGTTTGGCCATATTTCAGAGCTGCAACATCACTGGAGTGCCCAAAAGCACAAGGTGTGCAATATCAGAGACATGGCCAAGGTAAGAAAGGCTGAAAGTCGACCACCACTGAACAAGACACACAAGCTGAAATGTCAAGACTGGGCCAAGAAATATCTCAAGACTGGTTTTTCTAAGGTTTTATGGACTGATGAAATGAGAGTGAGTCTTGATGGGCCAGATGGATGGGCCCGTGGCTGGATTGGTAAAGGGCAGAGAGCTCCAGTCCGACTCAGACGCCAGCAAGGTGGATGTGGAGTACTGGTTTGGGCTGGTATCATCAAAGATGAGCTTGTGGGGCCTTTTTGGGTTGAGGATGGAGTCAAGCTCAACTCCCAGTCCTACTGCCAGTTTCTGGAAGACACCTTCTTCAAGCAGTGGTACAGGAAGAAGTCTGCATCCTTCAAGAAAAACATGATTTTCATGCAGGACAATGCTCCATCACACGCGTCCAAGTACTCCACAGCGTGGCTGGCAAGAAAGGGTATAAAAGAAGAAAAACTAATGACATGGTCACCTTGTTCACCTGATCTGAACCCCATTGAGAACCTGTGGTCCATCATCAAATGTGAGATTTATAAGGAGGGAAAACAGTACACCTCTCTGAACAGTGTCTGGGAGGCTGTGGTTGCTGCTGCACGCAATGTTGATGGTGAGCAGATCAAAACACTGACAGAATCCATGGATGGCAGGCTTTTGAGTGTCCTTGCAAAGAAAGGTGGCTATATTGGTCGCTGATTTGTTTTTGTTTTGTTTTTGAATGTCAGAAATGCATATTTGTGAATGTGGAGATGTTATATTGGTTTCACTGGTAAAAATAAATAATTGAAATGGGTATATATTTGTTTTTTGTTAAGTTGCCTAATAATTATGCACAGTAATAGTCACCTGCACACACAGATATCCCCCTAAAATAGCTAAAACTAAAAACTACTTCCAAAAACATTCAGCTTTGATATTAATGAGTTTTTTGGGTTCATTGAGAACATGGTTGTTGTTCAATAATAAAATTATTCCTCAAAAATACAACTTGCCTAATAATTCTGCACTCCCTGTAATGAGAACTACTGTCCTGTGATTAAACTGGCATCCATGGAGGTCTTCACATAATATATTATTGAAAAAACAAAATAGTAGCAGTTATTTTGTAACAAGATGGAAATCCTTGTTTCATTTGAAATGAAATCATTGTAAAGTAAATGTAATGTGCAGTTTATATTTTGTATGAAATGTAATTCATGAAGGTAAAGCCACAACTGTGACCAAACAGATGACTGCAGTGATTTTTAACATGCTTAAAATAAATAAAACAAAAAAAAACAGCAACACTGCAAATGGCAAAGAGAGCCAGAAACAAGCGATGTGACATTTGCACGACACACTGTAGTCCTGGTGTGATGTGCTGTGCTCCTGCTGTGGTATAATTGTGCAGCATGTGAGGTTTTGGGGTTCTTCTGGGTGAGAAGTAACTGGTGGGCATAGACTAACACACACCCTGTCTGGAGTGCTATCAAGTGTCAGTCAGAGTGAAATCGTAGACATCCCTGTGGATGGTGACATGTGTATGTGCATGTATACAAATTTTCCTGGGTCTTTGCCGCATGCTGGCAATGCAATAAAGTGAGTGGATGAGTGGGAGTGGGAGAAATTCAGTTAGATGTAAGTATTTAACTGTTTGCAGTGTGACATATCCGGTAAGCTCTTATACAATAAAGTTTCATGGTGGGAGCTTGAACTTTATAAAACGTTGATAACTTTTTCAGATATCTTGGTTACGGTGTGATTAGTGGAGGACTTAAGGAGGAAAGAGAATGGGATGAGACGGGGTAGTAGCCCCTGCACATGCTACAGTAGCCTTAAATACCACTGGTATGCTAACAAATGGGTGAATAAGAAACCGTTGCAATGGGTTTTGTTGAACCACTGTGTTTAAGAATGCATTGTAATATTAATTTATTTTAATTACTTTTAAGAAAGTGAACAACAAAACAGCAATAGCACCTCTTGTGTTGAACAAAAATATTGAACGCAGGCTGGTGAAGTGGACGATAATTATCTATTAGAACAAACACAGCACTTAACTTTGAACCAGGCTATATCTGTCTCAGGTCAATGCCTCATTCACTTTTTCTGCCAAATAAAATGCCTGAACCGGCTGTTATTTATTTAAATGATATTAAGCTAAAGTTTCTAAATGTTAAATGTGCTTGATAGCAACCTGTCGGAAATACTGAATTCTTGTGGTGCTCAAAAGCAAAGCTGAATGCTTCACGTCACTTTCACGATAGGTACTTCAAAAGTTTGTGAGTCTCCAAATGCTGAGTCATTTAATGAGCATATAAACCATAACTAACCGAATTACCCACTGGAGTACTGCGAGGCCCAACGGCAGAGCTGGATAATAATCTTATGACTTAGGCAGGCTTTTTTAGGGTCAGTTTATTGGCATTGTTATGGGTTAGAATGAAATTAGGAAAATGGCAGCTGTGTCCATGCCATATCATTATCAAATATAATCCAATTTAACCAGACAATCCTCTTGAAATGGACAGAGCACTCTCTTGGGCTCATCTGCTCTTTAGCCCTGCAGAAATACTCAAGTTGCAGTCTGGTTTGTTTTCGTATCACATGTGGGTGTGCATCGGTCACCCCAGTGGTCAGCTGGCTTTTGGTTGCATGTCTTTATTGCTTCATAAAGTTCTAGGAATTATGATGTGTTGGGTTTTAAAAACAAGAATAAACTCACTGTAAACACTTATAGTTTTCACTCGTCACCATTTTTGAATTTCATGGGGTCATCACAACAAACGTCCCACACTTACACAACAGGGACACTAATTTTACTTTGTTGACATAGCACATAATCTGCTCTGATGGCTACTTGTCAGATGTCACTGTGAGAAGGGACATGTAAAATGTTTTCCTAGTGCTACATGTGCACTATGAGGCTGTTCCCACAGAGTGGACCGATGCCACATAATCCAGGGGCTTTAAAGTTATTTCAATTCCAGGCATTCTCTATGGACTCCATTTATTATGCCTGAATATAGGTTTTTTTTTCTTTGAGGAAGACAAAAGTGGAGGAAATCCACTTGCTTCATTTTCTGGCAGAAGGACAAGGTAGCAGAGTGCTTACTTGTATCAAATCAGGAATGAGCGAATTTCTAGAGAGGAACAGCTGCATGCGGCGACTGTGCCAAACAAAGCATGTCAATGAAGTGCCATGCAACTCTGCTCACTCAGCCAGACACGAGAAGGCACATTAAAAGGGCTGCATGAGAACAACAGTTTACCCCGAGGAACAATTATGCCATATGCGCAATAAAATTAGAGTGGCCTCATACACATCTTGTTATTTGACTTGAACACACATATTCACCATTAATAGTAGCAGATGGATGCTATGATGGCGTGATGGGTGCAGTGACACCCTTTTTTTTGTCCTAAAGAAATGTGTAGTTTTTTAAGGGTATACATAAGTTCAGAAACTTATACTATGTACAGTACATGCTCTCCATCTCCTACAGTCTTTTAACATGGCTGCTCTTTTGCAAACTTTCCTTGATATATATTATAGAAATAGTTCACCAAGATGTGTTTGAAAAGTGGGAAGCCATGCGGGCTGTTAAGTGTGCCATCATTTTAGATCCACAACAACCAGTTTGAAAGTTTTTATCAGGTTTTTTTATTTTTTATTTTTATTTTTTTAGAACTGTTAAGTTGCAGTATCCCCAGAAGTATTTTAGGCTCATGCAGGTATACGGTGAGTAACCCGAAGTTCTGCCACTCAGAAGGAACATGAACATGATGCTGCCAGGATGCATAGGCATTAAATGGGAAGTGTGGAAATAATGGATTATGACAAATTGCCTTACTGTGGGGGATAACGTATAATTTGTTGTTGTTAAACAAACTGACTTATCTGCTTATAATCAACAATGTGTTCCTGTCGGTTTCCTTAATTTGCCTACTCAGATTTCGTTTCCGTTTTTTTTCTAGGAGGCTCAGAAGGTGAACAACCCCGCCAACAATCAGGCAGCCGACAGAGCACCAAAGGGCCCTGATGAGAAGGAGGAGGCGCCAGCCAATGAAGTGGGATGGATGACTTCAGTCAAAGACTGGGCCGGTGTCATGATCTCCGCTCAGACACTCACTGGCAGAGTTCTTGTAAGTTTTCGCTTTTCTGATGGGGATGAACATGTCAGATACCAAACCCAGACACACATACATCAGGTCTTTTTTGACATTAATCGTTTGGCCCAGCCACCGTTAACTAAGTGCAACAGTTTGGTCTTTCCTCTGGCAAAAGGACTGCACATAGTGTTCACAATCAAGTTGGCTTTTGGATAAATCCACTGCACAATCCACTGTCGTGTACACGTTTCCTCACCTTATTTATACAAGTCCCACTGGAGACATACTGTAGGGCAATTCATTTTATCCTAGCAGAGGCTAGTTGAACATCAGTTGGCTATTTGGCTGCCACTGTCCGGCCTTTTTTGTGCTACAGTGTCCTTTCTGTGGCCCACTGCAGCTCACTCTGCTATATGAGTTTGCATTTATTTTTGTGTGTGGGTGTGCATGTACATACTTAGATGCATATGAGGAAGATTTGTTAATGTTTGTTAACAATGAACTATGAAGTAAACAAACTCCTTGTCCTGTGTTGCTTTTAGTCGCCTTTTTCACCCTCAGAATTTCATTGTTTAGATATTGCAAGTTTCCATAGTTTGGCACAGAATTAGCTGGTCTGTGTAGTGAGGTATCTGTTAAGTTGGATACATATCCTAAAGGATGTCAAATTCTCTTTCTGTTTCTCCTGTTGTTTGATTTTTACTATGACAAAGCTTTAGAGAAACAGCTTTTAATTTTTAAAAAGAAAAAAAAAAAGTCTTTCCACCAGCACAGTTGCTGATGTGTTCTCCCTATAAGCATACCCATATGTCCTCCACACACAGTCTAATGTCTGAGCACAGAGAGTTAACTATGAGCAGCATGCTACCTCTGTTACCTTTTAGACTGGCTGAGTTATGGAAAGACTTCACAGCACTTGATTAAAATTGAGGCCCATTTAAGTGTTGGGCAACATAGTGTATACACGGTGCTTAGACTATTTATTAGTCCACCATCTGGTGTAAGGTTTATGCCACAGCTGCCCTAAATTAACAGTACTGGTTATGACCAAAAATCAATTTTTATGTTTCTGTAATGGCTAATCCACAATTATGCATAAGGTCTTTAATCGAAATGATATTTTCAATGCTAAGACATAATTATTACTATCCATGAATTTTTCAAATGTAAAGTTTTATAGAAAAGCTGAAAAAAACCTAGAGCACATTATTTTATTTTTTTAGATTAACATGCCAAATTCCAGTTTACTTAGTATTTACTTATATTTCTGAAGACAGAAATGTGTTTTAGTAGTTGAATGTTATGCTTGATTAGTGTATCAGCTCAAATTTGTGTGTAAATATTTTCATTGCTGAGGTTGTTTTTTTTTTGGTTTTTTTTGTGGACTACCACAGTTTCTTTTTCTGGGCTTTTGTAATCATTTGTGATAATAATTATGTTTTCCTGCTAAATGTCTATTAAGGTTACAAATGAGCAACATTTGCTGACTGGCTCTGACGTTTACTTTATAATTTTGCTATCATGCTTGACTAATTTGACTTCTCAGAGACCAAACTCCTGAACTCGTCCCTACATCATTACATAAAACTGACTGATTCTCTGTCCAGTTCTTGTGTATTTGTCTGTTAAATGGTGTCTGTTTGATATATGTATATATGTATATATATTAAATTCAGCTACAGAAATAGGAGCAAATGATGTGTTTTTTGCACAGACTGCTAGCAAAATGTCTAAAGATATAATTTAAAATTGATTCTTTGCTAAGTTGTCTTTCATGTGTAGACTGGATGGATTATCCCTGAAGTTAGATATCTTTTCTATGCCTGGATGATTCATCAATGTTAAGTTTCTTAACTACCAAAAAGAACACATTTTTCTAAAAGGACAGACACGGACTAGACTAGATGTACAAAGAAAAACTTTCAATGACCTTCACAAAGCCTGGAGAACTATTGCTAAAGACCATTTAAAAATACTGATGGGTAGCTCAAGAATTTTACGACAGAACTATAATAATAATAATAATAATAATAATAATAATAATAATGAAACACATTGCATTTGTATGTTAGTCAGGGAGCATCTAGTGCTCATTTTACATCTCATTTTACATCAGCGTATGAAAAGTAGGTGTGTTTTGCACAGACATCTGCTGTGCATCTGTGGATTGAATGGAGCAGCAGTGGGAGTGAGGAGAGAGATGGATCCAAACTAAAATACTGACATTGTTAATGTTTGCTGGAATATGACATCTTCCTCATGCCTGGTGAGAATAGCTCGCAGTTGAGAAAGATTCAGGCCTTTCATGGGGAAGAAGATAAAGAATCCCGAAGGGAACTGTCAATTTACTAAATGAGCCTCTCTTTCATCACTTCCCCACTCACACAGCTCCATTGGCATGGACACAGCTCCCTCTTCCCTTTCATCTCCTGCTCTGACTGAGTGCTCCCAATCTGCCCTGTATGTACATTGGTGTGTGTGTGTGTGTGTATATGAGAGAGAGTGAGAGATAAATCAAAGAAACATATAGGGAGACACGCCAACAGAGAGAAAGACGGGCAGATTGAGAGTAAAACAGAGTGGTTGTGACAGTCAGGGAGAAATAAAGCACCGGCTGCTTTAGAGGGGTTTCTAGCCATAGTGATATCCCAGTGTATCGCCTACTGCGATTTGTGCTACTTGTGCTGGGGCTGATAATTCTGCCCAGCAGGCTGTGTTTGCTTACTTGCTCACTCTAATGATATGCAGCACAACTGAGTATTTACTCAAGTGAGTGCTACGTGAAGGTGAAGTGAGTACAGTATCTTCTCATGTGGGTGGAATTAACATTCGTGGGTGCATGTATGCAAGTATTTCTCAACATGTACTGCATACAGTATAAACATGATTTGTGTGTATGTATGTGCATGTGGGTGGGTAGGTGAATTCTTATGTTATTAATATTATTTAGTTTTTCTTTTGTGGGGCTCTTGCTCTGCCATCGGTGCTTCACTGCAGATCGAGATTGCGATGAGTATCCGTGTACACAGAACCTGGCTGGTAACCATAGCAACTGCTGTGTAGTGGCGCTCGGTCATTTGACATTAGGGGGCCGTCTGCCTGGGCAGAGCAGAGTAGAAATACCATGCACATTCAGTCTTTCTCTCTGTGTTTTACACTTACACACACACACACACACACACACACACACACACACACACACACACACACACACACACACACACACACACACACAGACAGGTGGGATTACATCTTGATGTAGACCCCATTCGGTTCTATCCAGATGGAAAAGGGACAAAAGCACACTGGGAAGGATGGTCTTTGGTAGGCGGAGCCCTCCATCCCCCATTCATTTGTCTGCCTTGATGACTTCCCTGTTTGTGAACAATCAGCTATACCCCCAGGCTTACTGAATTACTAGAAAAATTTATATGTGCTGTGCAATAATGAGTCGCATATATTATTTTGGAAGTCTCAGTCAAATCCTCCGTTAAGGTTAGAAACTGACTTTCATGTTCAGATTCGTTGCCTAAACCTAACCACAGATGGGAGCCTGGTTGTCTCCTTTGTACTATTCATGTGTTTTTTACAACAGAGTTCACCCCAACAAATTCCTGCCAACTTACGGTGCTACCTTCATTCAGAAGAAAAAGTTACCTCTGAGCACCTGACCAGTGGGAAAGCAATTGTAAAATGTATTTTGGAGCTTAGGAAACTATGCTGCTCCATACTGTGATGAAATGCCAGCACGAGGCAATGCCTGTGTTTTTTTTTTGTTTTTTTTAAAATGATGTGCAGTGACTTTACCGAGCTAATTTGCTCTGATCAGAAAGAAATGTTAATGAGCACACATTCGCCTACGCTGCATGGCCATCAGGACCGGACATGCTGCATGGGAATTGATCATTCTGGTTGTTGGCGATCATGTCTTGAAAAATAATCCCATTGGTGAGCCACAGGCTGCACAAGTAGAAAATTGCAGAAGAACAAAAAAGTGTGTGTGTGTGTGTGTGTGTGTGTGTGTGTGTGTGTGTGTGTGTGTGTGTAAGGCAAAGGTGCTGATAATACATTTTTTCCTCACCATAGCTTTTGTGACTTACCCAAAAGACCCCCCCCCACCCCCAACAACCCCTCACGTAGTATATCCAACATGTCACCAACAAAAAAAGATGCCAGTGAGATGAAATGTTGCCTGCGTGAGCCAGTGTTGTTCTGCTGTATGGGTTAGTAGTTATTGTTGTTTAGCTCTTTTTTTTTTCTCCACACCTTTGTAATACCGCTTTATCAAATACAAACACTAAGTTTGCGTCCAAGGGAAAACATGTATTTTTTTTAACACAGTGATTGAAATTAGAAGAGAAGAAAATCACAGCATTTTTAGCAGGTTCCAGTTTGTGATGAAGTTTTTTTTGATTAATCGACAGGTGGAAAAAGGCTTATGCAGAGCAGCAACTAATTGACTGTACTGTGCACTCAGAAGAATGTGTCTCCCTGAGCCCTTATGAGACAGCTGTCCACGCAAAGGGACAGCGTACGGGAACATAGGTGGAAAAAGAGCGCACCTCCCGTCAGGCTGTGGATAGCTCATCAGTTACTTCGACAACCGTATCATCCCAGTTGTTTTTCCTGAAAGACCTAATTAAGCGCTCAAGGGCACAACGTCTGAGGAAGCAACTACTCGGACAGCTGGAAATATGAGTTGGCTAACTTCTTGTGCTACATGAGCCCAGCGTATCATGTAATAGATTCCTGCATTATTGTTACAGTGACAATGTGTGTAATCCCATAATGTTCAACAAAAACAGCGAAGGATTATAACCACTGAATGTAGATATTCCCCCTATCTCCCGGTGCAGTGGATTTGCCTGACACGGTGGGTCCAGAAATAGGTCAGTCCTGCCATCTTTCTTAATGGGATCTTGGGTGGCAACCAGAGACCATCTGTTCACATGGCACGCTCCCTAAACCCTATGGTCATCCCTCTGCCTACCATCCACCCACACACTGCACGGCACTCTGCATATCGACCCCTA